CCCCCCTTCCAGACCTAAAGACCAAATAGTACCCCCAACAATTTTATACCAAATGAAAGCCCGCAAAAAGTTACGTCTAGTGGTATAGTCAGAACAAATATAGTTTGTAATATTATAACGATTCTAGGCTCAATACATCATTTTCACTTATGTATCACAGTCTCATATCAATTGAAATGATACAAGTTATCTTTCTTCACTTTCGAATTACGTATTAATAGATCGTAGTTTTCATGGCTCCAAGTTTTTATTAAATGTACGATATCGTAGACCAATATGTCACGTATTTTGCCAAATTTTCGTTTTCTAATGTTAGATTTGAGTATCACAAAGCACGTGAGCGAGTTGAGTAATGTTTAGTGTGAATTATCAAAAGCCTTACTATTGATGACTGATAACGAGAAGAAGGAACAGAAAAAAAGAAAGTTATGTGCACATTTATGCACGAACAGATAAGAAGAGAATACAGAAAAGAAAATGGTCGAGTGTCGAAATATTTTCAACTTTTTTCATTGATTTTCTTTCTGAGTATCTGTTGTCCGCGCAAGTAATTTTTATTCACGTTAGACGTTGAACAATTTGCTGATTAGTTAATAAAAAATTCTATGGTACATTAATTGAAAAACCAAAATGGCTAATCTGCTTCATGATTCGGAAGAGCAACGATTCGTTGACAGAATTCGATGTGTCACATATCGTGAAATACGTGACGAACTGATTGCAAGAACAGGAGACTCAATTATTACTCGCCCTTGGATTTCCGAGAAGCTACGTCGCAGTGAAGATTGAGTACGACGAAATTGGAATAAATCTATCGAAGAATGTTATACACAATTTGGCAGTGGTCGACCCCAGGTGCTTAATCAGGAGAGCAGAAACATTATCTCTTCTGCAAGTGGTGTCAAAAGCAGTAGCTGTCGAAAAGTTGCAAGAGAGATTTTAGAGAAAACAAAACAGCGGGTGAGTCACATGACTATTTACAATGAACGCCATCGGCAAGGATTAAAAGCTTTCCATGTGATTGCCAAGCCACTGAAGACAAATACACATATCGAAGATCGCAAGTGGCTAGCAAATTTTCTTACTGATTGGACTGAAGAAGATTTTCTACATGTTGCACCTCCGAATGAATTTTACATTTATGTTGTAAGAAAACCAAACCATCAAAATGATCGAATTTGGGCAAGAAGTATTGAAGACATCAGTGATGATGAAAGATACCGAGAGATGGTTTACAATGCAACATGTATTGGGGTTTTCGTCATGTTTACTGCAAAAAAACTACTTTGGGTGCCAAAAGAACATGGACAGTCTTGGGATGGCGCTTATTTTCGTGACACTATCCTTCGACAACAGGTGATCCCATTTCTTCGTGATTCGTCCAATGTTCTCGATACGAACGAAGTGATATTTCTTCATGACAAGGCACCTTGTATAAAAGCGAATGCAACACAACATCTTTTAGAAGATGAGAATGTGAATTTCTGGGGAAATTCAATTTGGCCAGGCAATAGTCCTGACATGAATCCTGCAGAAAATATTGATGCAATTATTAAAGATAAAGTTGAGGAACTAATGGCAAATGAAGATCGTCGTAGCAGATACAATTACGATGCACTGAAAACGAATTTGGAGAATACGCTCAAAGATCTTGAAAATGATACAGATCTTTTTATTGACTTGTTATGCTCGATGCGAAAAAGATTTGATGCTCTCAAGGCTGCTGATGGGGGTCATACGAAGTTCTGAAACTTTCGAAAAAGCATTTTTTAGTATTCAATATTATCAATAAACTGAATAATTAATGATTCACAACTTAAGTTACTGTTGAGCACAACGGCTTTTGACGTACTCGAGATTGTGATATATAAGTGAAAATGATGTATTGAGCCTAGAATCGTTATAATATTACAAATTATATTTGTTCTGACTATACCACTAGACGTAACTTTTTGCGGGCTTTCATTTGGTATAAAATTGTTGGGGGTACTATTTGGTCTTTAGGTCTGGAAGGGGGGGCGTAATGGTTTTTTTACACCCTGTACAATGTTACTACTATCATCATCCTATGAATTCAAGTTTCAAAATGATTAGAAAACATCCAAATACTTAGCTTATAAGTATTCGTAAGAATTGCTTATGCTTCTATTATCAAAAAAGTATATTTTATTCTCGAAAGCATTCACTCAAAGACCATTAACAGATATTACAAAGAAATAGCATAATTTTTGTTGTCAACAAAACTGCATTAACTTTAACAAATGAAAAGTAAATATTTAGAAAATATAGTAAAAATAAAGTCTAACAAATATGGTGAGGCAAGCAAGGACTGCTATGATTCCAGTGCTATTTCAAATAATTCAAAAAGAAGTATAAATGGTGGATAAGATTAGCACTATCAATCTAACTATATGTTTTAACGAACTACGTGCTGCTAGTCGCAAGGCGATATATTATGAGGATGGAAGAAAGAACCAATCAAAAACTGCGCATGTCAATCAGAAACGCATATTGTGCGTAAATTTGTATGGTATCAATTAAAAAAACATCAGAGAATTTGTGCTGATGTAAATGTGGAGACTCGAATCTATTTACAAATGAATGTCTTCTCACAGCTAGCATCGTTACAATAATGAGACCTAGAGTAATTTCACATACGAAGAAAAATTGCTTTTCTGATGAAGCACTGTGCAAATTAGAAATCTACTAAATCTTAACTAACTTACCAATTGGTGTTGTAATTGATGTAAGACCGACCAAAGCTGGACCATGGACTAATATCCAAAAATCTCCCGTGACAGATGCTTGAAACGTGGTGACAACCAAAATATATGTACGGGCAGATGAAAGGAGAGAGCTGATACGAAACACTCCTTGTGTGCCACCATTATCACTAGAAACGACGATATTTGCCAATGGATTAGATGAATCAAAAGATGTGTCATATAAATAGCCCATAGTACTGATACTAGATACACTTTCAAAAGAGTAAGTTCCACTTATGGCCACAGTAACTTGAATAGCTTGATAGTAATAGTAATGTTGGATATTACCATTGGGCCGAGAAAACTGTGGACTATTTGGCATTAGTGCATTTGAATATTTTGACAACACTGAAGGTAGACTAGTGACTAAAAGAATTGAAGACAGTGAATATTAGAGTGCATTCAAGGATGTAGTGCAGAGCACTATTTACTAAATGAATAGTTCAAAGAAACTAGTAAAAGAACTATTATTGTGAAGTTGTCAATATACTAGTATGAAGTATTAATGAGTTCCATTGTAAATTCAGTAGTTTTAGAAAGAACGCGACTAGAAGGTTATAATTTTCAGCTCTAAAAAAAAGAATAAGTGATATCGTGCTGGAAAAAATTGCTACTAAAATTTCATTCCTAAAACATCTAAATAATAAAGGCATCTATCTATATAACCTTAGCGACCATAAATTGAAGCTAAATGTATAGAAATATAAGTACTCAACAATTTTGGTTCTCTTCGAATATACTTTTCGAAATTTTCTTGATCTATTTAGAGTAACATGATGAATGTAAAAAGAATTTTCGAAAGTACCACAATTCACATCAATCGTAGCGTGCTAAATTGATTTTTTCAAACATTTGCCGTATACATTTAAGAAAAAATGCTAAAAGAAAACAAACATTGTTCCAAAACTCAACATACTTAACCCTTTATGCTCGGACATGATTTGCATTTCGACGGTGTCGCTAAGACTATATAAGTAGATACCTTTATTATTTCTCTAGCATGCACAATAAAAGTGTGATAACTTGATATCTAAGTTTCACAAAAAGTTGAAGAATATTGTCGATTTTTCATAATTAGCGAAGTTCCTCAGGAATCATGACAGTATATACAATAGTTGAGATATAGATTCTCACGTCTGTAGGCTAATACAAAGCTAAGATTTAGTGTGGGGTATTTGGGTATGACTGTAACTGTCGGTATGAGCCTGTTTGTAATTGGAAAAATGTCTTACATTTCACACCCCTCCATGTCATATAGGCCTTGTAGACTTATGATTACTTCCATTGGATAAACCTAGGAAAGAACTGGTGATCCTCTGCTGCTCGCGGTAACTGTCACGTACTTAATTATGATAAACTTGCAAAATAAATAAAAATATACTGAAAATATCAAAGATAAAGAACCTGAACTAGTTGTTGGTACTGGAAAACATGGCTCGTTGTGAATAATTGTAAACTTGAGAACACGATCGTTGATGCGGTCGCACACATAGAGATTGCCATCGTTATCAAATGCCAAATCGACGGGCTGCTCAAATTGATTAGGTTTATCACCCCAACCTATAATGAAATGTTCTTAGAGTATGATAACGATTTAAATACTTTTTTCTCTATAACATTGAATAAAAAAGGATGAGAATAAAGGGTATACATTATTATAGTCATTCCTCATTGCTCTCAGTTCATCCCAGCGAAAGCTCAAAATTGCTTCTTCGTTAAAAATATTAGTCTATTTTCCACTCTATTCTGATGTTTGATTCATTTATAACGGATACAATTGACAACATGCAAAACAAACTATATTTTCTAAAAGTCTGATCGAAAATTCGGGCAAAACTAGTCGAAATTCTACATCCATACCTGCTCCACCAGCAACAGTATCACCTATGAATGCATTCGGTAACCAACGTTGAATTCGATTATTATCTGAATCTGCCACGTACACAACTTGAGTTTCATCATCGACCCATACAGCAGTCGGATACGACAACGATTCTGCATCACTGCCTTGATTGCCCGTGCTAAATCCAGCCACAGTGGTACCATTAAGAGCATCTTTTAACCATTTCTGGATGCGATGATTCGCATAATCAGCGACATACACGGTACCACTGGTATTATCGACATAAATACCTTCAGGAGAATTGAGAGAATCACTTCCAGATCCTTGACCCATTTCTCTACCAGCGGCGACCGTTGTAACGTTTGTTAGTGGTGACCACTTATACACACAATGTCTCATCACTGATGTCATATAAACATTTTTCTCTTTATCTACCCATACGCTTTCGCACATCGGACATTCTCCTCCAACTTGCACGCCGTCTGATGCTCCTTTAACCCATTTTTTGATACGGTCTTCGTTTCGAACAGTGACATAAATGGTTTGTCCATCGTTGTCATCATCAACATAGAGCTTTGTAGGATATGTGACATTAAATATCACGGTGGTGCCCATGCTCGATAGCTGATTAAGAGTAAAAACTTGAATACGGTTATTACCTGTGTCAGACACATATAGTGTGTTGGTTTGTCTATGAATAAAAATTCCTTCAGGATCAAGAAGTTGATCGAGATTGTTGAGTCTTATTCACAAATAACTTCATTTTTAATGACCACGAAAATTATATGAACAGATGAATACAAGTACGTTGTTTTAGGTAGGAATGATAGTATATTGTATTTTGCTTGGATTGCTCAAAAACAAATCGGATACATTTGATAATATGTACATGTATGCAAAAATGAAAGGAGCTCTCAATCTGTTCTACTTCTGATCGCGTGCGTTTTTGAATCACCTGGTACCCCTTCCACCGAGACCAGCCACTATTTCACCTGTTCTATTCCATCTTGCGCAAGGACTGATTTTTATCGATATTGTAGACGGTATCCAACACCAAAATATAATTTGAATATACAGAAATATTACAAAGATCTCATTTACTCTACCCATTGTTAAACTTCCAAATATAGATGATAAGAATATAGGACAATGAAATTTTTCGGTGACTTAAAAGAGAAAAAGAAAGTGCCGTCTCAACACAACCAAAGCATGTTTTGAAGTAGTGTTTGCGTCAGACAGATAAGATATATATATAAGGCTGTGTCACGCACATGCAGCGCATACTCGATGAAAAGTATGTCCTTGCAACACTAGCAAGATGAATTAGAAGTAACTTGACGGTTTATTTGTTTTTCAATCCAAACTTTGAATTTTAAGAAATTCTTTTTTCGATTATCAAAGTACTTTTAAAATAATTTTCAGTCTCATTTATGGTAACCCTTCTTGCCAATCTTGCTCCTGTGTAATGCTGCCATAATTCTGTTACACTTTGATTTTTCGTATTTCAGAAAAACTATCATACGTAGAGACCACATTTTGTCAATACTACACTTTAAGCAACATGAAATGACGTTATATTAAAGTTACAGTCATGACTTGATGTTACAAATCGAGCTATTGCAAACAGAGTGAATACTAGGATATCAACAATATCAAAAAAAAAAACGAAGACATTCAGGAGCATTAGCTAATAAAAATTATATATTGTGAAATAATCTGCATAATTATCTTCTCAAAGATGATAATTACAAAAAATTAATAAATAAAGATTGAACTTGTCTCATTTCTATTGATAGTTATTTGTTATTTTTCTCAAAAATGTAATGCCAGATTGACTTCGACATTTTCTTTTGTTTAAAAACAGAACATTTGAAACATATACATGAAGCAAAAAGTTGTTTGTATAGTCGATACATGATATGCGAGAGTATTCTTCCTATTAACCTTTAAAAAACTGTTAGGATACCTAAAAAATTTTATTCAGTAATTGAGGTCACTTCAATATCTTCACATCATGACTAGAATATATCTTTAGATAGAACTAAAAGCAGTATATTTAAAATATAAATTTCGAATGATTTTCATTAGAGAACATTTCATAATCTTTACTGAGTCAGTATTTTTGTGAAACACGATCTGAAAGGAGTGTTGAAGTGTATAGGGTAGAAATTTTGCACCCACCCCCCCCCCCCCCCCCC